AGACGTGAGAGCTGCCAGACAGGCGCGCACACCGAAACTCCCGAAGCCAAACGCCTCGAAAGACCTCCGAACGACACCCCAGCAGCAGGGGCGGCGGACGCGCCACCTCTACGCAGGCAAAAGAGGGAACAAAATAAACGCAAAGCGCCAACAGACTGACCCACCGCCACCGACGCGACGGATCACTCCACAGTTGCTGACGGATGCCCACTGAAGGAAGGGTCGATAGGAAGCCAAAACATGTCCCCGCTCAGGGGTGACCAAGCGGCCAAAACTAGGGGCTTGAACTGAAACACCGGGTCTGCAACAATGACCGCTCCACGAACCCAGGTCGCCGACAGCAGAGAAAACGGACAAAGAAAAGACACAGACCTAATACGACAAACAACAAACACAAGGCCGCGAAATGGAGACACACGAACCCATTCAGCGCCAAAAGAAGTACTCGAACTTAGTCCAGAACCAGCGGTGTTGGAACCGGCGGTACCATCGGATATCAAACAAAGCAAAACCGCTCCGAAATCAGGGGAATTCCAATCGCTGGTGACACAACACGATGAAAAAACCAACTACCTGCACGGTGCCTTCCGAGCGCACACCTTCGCACAACAAATTCCTTCCTATTTGCTCGTCGTAACTGCGTGTCCGCTCCCCTGCACAATATGCAATTAAGGCGCTACCTCATTGGAGGTCCCATTGCCCCTACAAGATATTATGAGCCCCCAGGGGGGGCATGAAATGCTAGGAAAGCGCACCTCGGGGGCACACGACCCCGCAATTGCACCACCACACTGACCGACCGAGTGCCATGCGAAAGCGCCCACACTACGACTGCACCCGCACTGCCAGACCTGCCAGGAAGGGGGGGAGATAGGTGCTCGACCCTCCCTCATCCGGCACAAACAGCTCCGTATTCGAAGGCAGGAACACAAGGTCAACCGCCAACTCCATAAACTGTTGCCACCAAGGTTGGGCCGTCCAGTACGGCACGACTAGGAAAGACACCCTAGCACTGCTTGAGTGCACGTGTTTTCCACACTAATTAAGACAACACGCTGCTGAAAGAACGGAAGAAAGGACTCTAATGCAGGATGGACAGCGTGCAACTCCTTCCAACTGACGTGCTCATAGAGCTCTGGTGCCGACCAATAACCGCGCGCCACACGATCATGCAGGACCGCGCCCCACGAATGGCGCGATGCATCAACTGAAAGCTCAACTGCAGCAGGACCCTGGTGAATAGCCACGAGCATTGGTGGGTAGGGATGTCCGCCCACCACCCAAAGTCACGTAACGACCCACGGGGCAAGCACACTCGACCAGGATAACCAACCGGTTGCTTCACATCATCGTAACAATTGCGGAGAAATAAGAGAGCTGGAGTAAGGGCCAATTTGATGCTCTGTGCAAAACTACAAAACTTAGCCAGCTCGCACTTCTGCACCAGACGCTGATTTTTCTTTGCCGTGATCCGCAACCCGATCGCCAGCCACCACAATTTTGCGAGCTTTTGCTTAGTCACCTCAAACACACCAGCTGCCGTATTGACAGTAATGCCTAAGTGATACACTGACTGCGACGGCTCCCACTGGCACTTGGTGGGATGACATGACAAACCCAAAAACTCGATCATCTCACGCACCCAGCGTGCGCAAAAACGTGCTTGCTCCTCGGAAGTAAACATGATTAGGAAATCATCCAAATACGGTAGTACTCGCGCACCCGGACGTGAAGGACGCCCTGTCTGGGAAACGGGAAAAAACTGGTGGGGCGAGAGCAAGGGGCGAGGGACACTTGTGACCCTTGCCCGCCGCAGCCAAAGAATCCCGCCAAATACGCACCACATTGTGCATGTACTGCTGAAGCGACGGTGTCTCTCTGGGACCTAGCAGACACGGCCAAGAGTAATTGGCCGTTACACGTAGTCTGGAGGTCCGCGACCTGCCACCGATAGCCCCTTGCTTGGGCGTAAACATATTGAGTCTGAGGTGCTGTTTCCGACACAGCAGGGGCTTTAAGGTAGCCTGTCCTGACGGGCGGCCTGTCAGTATTCTAGCACCTTGACAGCCGCCAGTCATAACAGCCTGACGTGGGGCCTTTCGCAGGCCACGGGGCGACACGGCACACCCCCTTCACACGAACATGCCCCCTCGAGTCGCACCAGGGGCCTGACTGCAAACTGCTAGTACTGACGAGCTCGCTCGGCCACCAAGTCCGCGGTCCAGGCCGGCTGCTCAACGCTCAGCAGACACAATCGCAGCTTGCCAGCCTTCTGCCTGTTGGCTTTGCGGTCTGGTACCACAGTCCAAACACACACGGAAAACAGCACGGCACAGCACCTTATGCCCTGCCTACGGCGCCCTTCAGGCACTAGCCTGCCCATTCGGGCGCCTGCCCACGCGGCCTTGGTGCCCCCCTACCTCGACACACTTCTTTTAAGCCCTCAGCATTTTTCCACTCCCCCCTCGCATGGTGCTCTGTCGATCTAAGTGACGCCCAGCACCGTGCGGCAGTGCACGAACTTGATTTCACCCAGTGCCTTGGTGAGAATGTCAGCCACCGTGTTGGTGGTGGTACAATAGCTGAGCTTAACCTCACCGCGCACGGCCGTTTCATGCATGATGTGGTGGTGCACATCGATATGCTTGGAGCGCACCAACGTGATGGGGTTGTTGCCGAGGCTGAGCACGCCTTGTGAATCCAGCTGGATGTTGATGGCGCCGGGTGACAGGTCCAGGTCGCCCGCCAGCTTGCACAGCCACATAGTGCCTCGTGCACTGCTGCTGCGGCGGCCTGGTACTCGGCCTCGAGGCAGCCAAGGTGCGCTGCAACTGGCTGCTCCAGCTGACCGCTGCACTGCCGAGCAAGAATGTGTAGCCCGTGGTGGACCGGCGGGTGGCTGGGTCGCCGGCCCAGTCCGCATCACTGTACCCGCCGAAGTTGCTGGTGTCGCTGCAGCTGTCGCCACGGTACCGCAGCCCGAGTGTGTGGTGCCGGATAGGTAGCGCATCATGCCCAGCACGAGGCCCATGTGGGCCTTGGTGGGGACGGGCATGTGTCACACGAGCATGCTCAGAGTGTGTGTAATGTCCGGGCGTGTGCTGGTGGCAAGGTATTTCAGCTCGCCCACCACCACACCGTAGCCGCTGCCATCAATCACTGTCGGCTGGGCGTCGCTGGCTGGCAGAGCACACATGC